ATTTTTATAAAAATTTTCACTATTATCCAACTACTAGTTAGATAATTATCAAATCGATAATGACTAAACATTATGGTATACTTCATTAAAGTTAAGAGTTACATCATTTTTAGTAAAATATAACTTCAGTACTTCCTTCACTCAATTGAGAAATGTCATACGAAGCTCCAAATTTTGAAGGATTGATAATTTGGAAAAACAAATAGTCGTCTCTAAGAATGAGCATGGAGTAAGTATCTACCAATTAATTATCTCTGAAAAAGATAATGACAAATAGTAAAACAAGATATTATTGTGTGACTTTCTGTAAGTAAACGAACAGTATTGATTTTGAACGAGTTATAGCTATTTATTCTTTTCGAAATCATCGTGACGACTTAGCGAGCCATCTTGAAGGTGGGTGTAGGTGAGATAAGTAAGATACGTCCGCACCTTTCATATCTTTGATTTTCCTGTAACGGCGAGTAGTTTCTACTAGTTTTACTTATGATTCTAATATTAAATAAATTATTAATTTATCCAACAATGAGTTTAATATCCATTATTATTTACTCTTTTTTGCTGATAATATGTGTACAAGATTGAATAGATTTTTTGATCGTTTACAAAAAAAAACACGATCATTTAGTTTGTGTGCTTATATGTAATTTCAACAGAAAAAAGAATGTGGCGAGACTTTTAACGTGTTTCTTTTACAAAGAAAATATATGTTTTTCTGTTATTGATGATATTATCTCTTATCTCTGAAGAAAGTTGAAAAAGAATGAATTCTTTTTTTTCGTTCTTTGCACTCACCAGGACTTTATTATGCACATGAAATAATGCAATGGACAGAGTTCTGTTGTAACTACTCAAAATAAAAAGAAGATAATCAATGACGCCATAAAAACATTAAGATAAAGAGTACTGATTCTCATTTAAAAAATCGAGCTTATTCATCTCCTTCACTTTTATCAATTCAATCGAAAAAACCACATAATACACGAAATGGATACAAAACCTAATAGTATCGAACGGCGAAGACGTATTGTACAAAATCATTTAGTCATTTGTTTGAATGAGTCTATGGACAAAACAAACAAAGATTACAAAGACATTTTGATACAAATACAAACCGCTGCCAACAATGTCAAAGTCTTTACGCAGAGAGATGAATGCGTCGACTTTCTCTCCGATAATGAAAATATCAAATCTTTTCTCGTTGTCGAGAACACTATCGCTCAACAAATTATACCCTTCATCAATGATATTCCTCAGTTGGATGGTGTTTATATCTTCAGTAACATTAAATCGTTAGATAAAGAATGGACCAAAAACTGGCAAAAAATCAAAAGCATTCACACGAATATCAAAGACCTATGTCAAGCATTACAAATGAATATCAAACGATACAATCAAGATTCGATCGCTATGAGTTTTGTTTCCGTAAATGAAATGGTTTCATCTAATGATTTAAATCAGTTGGAACCAACATTTATGTACACTCAAATATTCAAGGATATTCTTCTTGATATGGAACATGGTGAACAAGCCATTACAGAATTTACTTCATATTGCCGACAAAATAAATCCGGATCGGCAATCAATATCGATCGATTTGAAAAAGCATATCATGCTCAATCAGCTATTTGGTGGTATACTTACCCATCATTTATCTATTCTATGTTGAACTATGCTCTTCGCTCTATGGAAGGGGATACTATAATTAATATGGGCTTTTTCATTCATGATCTTCATCAACAAATACAACAGCTACACCAACAGCAGGTTAATAGCTATCATGACAAACCATTCATAGTTTACCGGGGACAAGGTCTATCCAAAGCAAATTTCGAGAAACTCAAAAATACAGAAGGTGGTTTAATGTCTTTCAATAACTTTTTATCCACTAGTATCGAACAAGACATAGCTTTCGGATTTGCTAATAGTGCGTCAGAAAACGCGGACATGGTTGGTATTTTATTTATAATGTCCATTGATCCTTGCATAAAATCAGCACCATTCGCTTCTATCAAAGACAAGAGTTATTTTAAAGATGAAGAAGAAATTCTCTTCTCAATGCACACCGTCTTTCGAGTGGGTGCAATTAAAGTGATGGACATTAACAATGAACTTTATCAAGTTGAACTACAATTAACGTCGGATGATGATCAACAACTGCGATTGCTTACTGACCGGATACGAGGAGAAGTTGGTGGTACTGGATGGCAGAGATTGGGTGACTTATTGCTTAAAATTGGACAATTTAATAAAGCTGAAGAATTTTATCATGTATTAATCGAACAGACATATCATGAGGATGAAAAGCAATATTATTATAATCGGCTGGGATATGTCAAAGATGAACGGGGTGATTATGAAAAGGCTATTTGGTATCACCAACAAGGAGTTAAAATCTATCAAAAAACTCGTCCATTAAATCATTCTTTATTAGCTACTTCCTACAGCAACATCGGTAGTGTGTATGACAAAATGGAAGAGTACTCGAAAGCGCTTTCATATTATGAAATAGCACTTGAAATTTGGCAAAAATTTCTTCCTTCAAATCATTCTGATGTGGCTACTTCATACAACAACATTGGTAATGTATATAACCACATGGGAGAGCACTCGAAAGCGCTTTTATATTACGAAAAAGCACTTGAAATTTGGCAAAAACTTCTTCCTTCAAATCATCCTTCGTTAGCTGCTTCATACAACAACATTGGTACTGTGTATAACACGATGGGACAGTACTCAAAAGTACTTGCATTTTACGAAAAATCACTTGAAATTTATCGAAAAACTCTGCCCTCAAATCATCCTCATTTCGCTACTTTATACGGCAACATCGGTAATGTGTATGAGAACATGGGAGAGTATCCGAAAACAATTTCATTTTACGAAAAATCACTCGAAATCTATCGAACAACTCTTTCTCCAAATGATCCTCATTTGGCTACTTTATACGACAACATCAGTAATGTGTACGGGAATATGGGAGAGTACTCGAAATCACTTTCATTTTACGAAAAAGCAATTGAGATTTGGCAGAAAACTCTTCCTTCAAATGATCCTGACTTGGCTACTTTATACGACAACATCAGTAATGCGTATGATAGCATGGGAGAGTACTCAAAAGCACTTTCATTTTACGAAAAAGCAATCGAGATTTGGCAGAAAACTCTTCATTCAGATGATCCTCATTTGGCTACTTTATACGACAATATCAGTAATGTATATGAGAACATGGGAGAGTGCCCGAAAGCACTTTCATTTTACAAAAAAGCAGCTGAGATTTGGCAAAAAACTCTTCCTTCAAATGATCCTCATTTGGCTACTTCATACAACAACATCGCTTTCGTGTATGACAAGATGGGAGAATACCGGAAAGCACTATCATTTTACGAAAGGGCGCTTGAAATTCGACAAATAACCCTTCCTTCAGATCATCCTGATTTGGCTACTTTATACGGCAACATCGGTAATGTGTATGAGAACATGGGAGAGTACCCGAAAACAGTTTCATTTTACGAACGAGCGCTTGAAATTCTAAACAAAAACCTTCCATCAAATGATCCTTATTTGGCTGCTTCATACAACAATATCGGTAATGTGTATGACAACATGGGAGAGTACTCGAAAGCAGTTTCATTTTACGGAAAAGACCTTGAAATCTGTGAAAAAACTCTTCCTTCAAATCATCCGTGTTTGGCTACTTCATACAATAATCTCGGTTTGATGTATAAAAAGATGGCAGAGTACTCGAAAGCACTTCCATTTTACCAAAAAAACCTTGAAATTTGTCAAAAAAGCCTTCCATCAAATCATCCTCGTTTGGCTACTTCATACAACAACATCGGTAATGTGTATAACAACATGACAGAGTGCTCGAAAGCACTTTCATTTTACGAAAAGGCACTTGAAATCGATAAAAAAACTCTTCCTTCAAATCATCGTAATTTGGCTAATTCATACAACAACATCGGTACTGCATATAACACGATAGGAGAGTACTTAAAAGCGCTTTTATCTCACGAAAAAGCGCTTGAAATCTATCAAAAAACTCTTTGCTCAAATCATCCTCATTTGGCTACTTCATACAATAACATCGGTAATGTGTATAGCCATATGAAAGAGTACTCGAAGGCACTTTCATTTTACGAAAAAGCACTTCAAATCTGCAAAAAAATTCTTCCATCAAATCATCTTCATCTGGCTAATACATACAATAACATTGGTAATGTGTATAACAATATGACAGAGTACTCGAAGGCACTTTCGTTTTACGAAAAAGCTGTTGAAATCGATCATAAAACTCTTCCTTCAAATCATCCTTTATTGGCTACTTCATTCAATAACATCGGTTTTGCCTATTACAATATGAGAAGCTACTGGGAAGCACTGTTATATTTTGAATGTGCTCTGGACATATGGCAACGTGCATTACCTCCAACTCATTCTCATATAAAAATGGTGAAACAGAATATTGAAATTATAAAAAACAAATTATACAAAAAGCTTAATAAATAAAGAAAAGAGTTTTTTGTTCACTGGTTTTGAACTAATTCTTGGTTGTAGTTACTCGTGCGTATACACAAAGAACAAATCTGTGATCAATAAAAACGTAATGGACAGAGTCGACTGATGAAGTAATAGGCGTATATACGTATTTGTGTAAGTGACCTTCTCAGACATATTTACATTTCTGATTCTTTACGAGAATGTTCCCTATAATAAAAGAAGAATAACTTATATGCAATTAAACTGCAAGTGCTAAACGAGGCTTCGTATGATGAAGAAAAAGTTAATAAGCTGCAATATATATATAGTATTGATTATCGCTAATGTTTTTATTAACCATGAAAAATTTCAATCAAATTTAGTATCAATATCTTTGTTTTTGCTTATACAAATGAAGAACGATTAAATTCTTGTTCTTATAATGATGTACTTATAAAGAATATGTTTTAAATAGTAAATGTTTATTCTTGAATATTTAATTTAACTAATTATATGTTCGAAAATAAATTATTCTGCTTTCGAATAACTAATTCAAATTCTACACTGAAATCAATTAATTAAAGAAAGTCTCTAATCAGAACAGAAAGACATAGCTAGTTTGTCGTCAATATCACATATACCAAGATTATTTAAATTAGGATAATTTGTAGGATGAAGAACATATTCTATCAATGTTCCTTCATGGTAGAGAGTTTCAATTTGATGTCCAATTTCAGGTGAAATTGTTAAACAAACTCGATGAAGTATTGAATCTGATAATGGAAGCGAAGAATTATCGATTCAACGATATTCAATTAAACGTAAATGACAAGTAAAAACTCTATTACGTACAGCTCTATTGATTCTAATAAACATTGTTTCGACTGTTGTTATTTATAGAAAAGTTTGATCTTATACGAAAGAATTTGTTAATAATAAATGGGCTTGATGATTATATATAAATGTCAAATTTTTATGATGAGACTATTCGATGGAAAAATGAAATGACACGGCCAAGTACGTATTCTAGAATTGATTAGAATTAGAAGTGGAAAATTTTTCATCTTCTTTTACTAGAAAAAAAATCGAGAAAAATATTTATCGAATAAATAAGATTGTTGATACAACCTCTTTCGAAATATCCTATTACTTATTATGAATTTATTTATTCGTTTTAAATATCTTCGTAGGACATTTATTTCTCAAACCTTGTTTTATTTCTATATTTGATTGAATATATTATTTGACATATATTAAATACATCATAATATTTCGACAAGTTTTTTTGTAGAATGAAAACATTTTATCTAAAAATAAGGAAAGAAATTTTCATCGATGTCAAACAAGATAGCGCTCATCCAACGGAGTCGTTGATCCTTTTCTGGAAGAAAAATTTAGTAGAACGATTATTAGAGTAACCTTTCACTAAGAATATCCAATATGTCTCAACCTTCTGATTCGAATGCAAACATTGAAAGAAATCATCAAATATCTTCCAAAAATCTTGAGGGTGGGTGTGGGTGTAGATATCTACTCTTTCTATTCATAGTCATACTCACATCTGCACTCACACCCTCAACATTAAAAATGAAGTTAATCTTTAGAAACGCATTATTTCAATATGAACAATAAAAACACTCAAAGCCAAATTTCATAATAAGAAAAATGGACTTTTAATCTTTCACATTAAAGGTTAACAGTAACAAATTAAATAGAATATAATTGTCAAAATAGAGTTGTGGTAATGATTGTATCATTGTCTCATCGTTCTCATGAATCGTTGTCGCCAACTGGTAATTGTTATATGAATTTTTTTCCTATAGAAAGTCGATGGTAAAACAAATATAACAAAGATAAAAGATGATGGAATAAATGAAATAAAATATCCACAAAGATACAGGCAAGGATTTCGTGATTCCTTAACACATGTTGATAATAATGAAATAAGAAAACGAGGAAACAGTAAAATAGCTAATACAACAGAACTGATTATAAGTTGTTTGTGCTCATTGATTTGATTAAGTAGTTGTTGTCTATAATTAAATTTAGTTTGAGTGGTCGTTCGTTGACGCGCAACGTTTATGATGATATAAAGAGCTGAAAATAAATTTAATACAAAAGGAACAATAAAATGGAAATATTGAACAGTTGTAGTATATTTTTCAATTGATTGAAAATACTGAAGTACACATCAAACACGTCGTTGAGGGTGTGCGTGTGGGCCTTATTTGAATATTTGATTTCGTCCACATTCAACACATTCACACTCACCCCTACTTACTTCCACTCACCCATACCCACACACTCCGACCCTGTGATGTTCGTTTGACATCTTGCTCCCTCCCCTTTCCCTTCACCATACTCACCCACCAGATCTCAGACTCGAAGTCCCTGTATTGAAATACCTCTACAAATGTCTTTTCTAGAAAATCGATTTTCGATGTTTTTTTACCCTGCGGACAGACAAGCAAGCAAACAATTTATTCTGACTAGACCCTTCTCTACGAGAAAGCGAATAACAGAAATTAGCTTGTTTTCAGTTGAAGTTGTAGCAATGATTTTCTCAGAGTATTATAAATC